CCCTTGTCCCCTGCATCGGCAGGCGGACCCTCAACCACTGTACCACCAGGGAAGCCCCAAAATATATCTTTAAAATTCTTTAAGTTTAGGATGAAAACCTGAGATGCCAACTTAAAAATGGGTCTAAGGGAACATGGTTTTTACGGGGTTTTTTTGAGAAGTATGATAGCCAAACGTTTGAAGACCTTTGTTATATTTTATTGCTATTAATTTTTCACGTAAGGGGAGGGCACTCTCTTCCTGCTCTTCTTCTTGTGAAGTGCAGGATTTAATTGGTTGGTATTTTGCATAGGCCTTACCTTTTGCTAATTAAACTTTAACTGAAAAACATGAATATCTTTCATGTGCCAGACTCAGTGCCGGGTATATCAGAAGAGACTCCAGGTCCTGCCTTCATGGAGTTCATAGTTCAGCCTCTACTCTTTGGGTTAGAGACTGAATTTTGATAGGAACTACAGCAGTCAGGTAAAAATGTGTGGCAGTTGAGTCAGGAACCGCAGGGATTCAACTAGGGATACAACCGTATTACTGCAAGTATGGTACTTGCAGAAGAAGAATGGTAGCATTCTTGGTTCTTGTAGGTACTGTGGCTTCTCCAAAGACTATCAGGTTAATATCCTTATTTGTCAAAATTAAATATGCCTGAAAGACTGCTGAAATTGGACCAAGGGGACTGCATTTCCTTGTTTGATTGGGTTTTTATAAAGAGCATTGCTGTTCCACTGAGTCTTTGTGAAAAAATAGTGTTAAAATTACTCTTTCAATGAAATAAGGACACCATATTACTGACCAGGGTTCTGGGCAGTAAACTCTTAGACTGGTGGCTTCATTTTCTTTATTATCAGGAATTTCTTCAGTTATGAATCAGAAGATTAATTTCATAAGTATTTTAGGACTAGCCAGAACTAAGAGTAGAACAGATTAACCCAACCTGATAGGATAGTGTTCTAGACACTTTTCATTTCTTTAGTGTTGAGCTATGCTAATTTATTAGTGTAATTAAATGTCATTTGAGGGGTGTGAGACTCAAAATTAGTATGTACTGAATTCAACATTTTGCGTAATTTCTCTTAATTCATTTTTGAAGGGCATAGAGTTCTGTCTTACATAATAAAGAAGTTGTTTAAGTAAATGCGCTCAACTTTATTTTGCTTTTCCCCCTAGGTGAAAAGAAATGGATTATCTCAGACAGTTAGCCAGGAAGAAAGAAAGAGACAAGAGGTAAGTTTTCCACCAAGCAGATGCTTTAGGGTTCCAAGGGGTGCCTGTTATGTTCAGCATTTTCCTTTGACGATGTATCCATTTTGTTGTGTTTTTTTTTTTTTACAAAAGGAGTATGTGATCATTGTCAAATAAACCTACACATAAGCCCCCATAAAAGAAAATTTTAAATAATACCAATGTCATTTTAACTTAACAAAGCACCTAGTCTGTGTGTATTTACACTGGAAGAAATATGTTGAAAAATGAAACAGACATTACTTAGATCCTGGAACTGAAAAAGGGTGTTAGTGGAAAAACTGGTGAAATCTGAATAAAATGTGAATATTTGTCTGCAGACAAAGTGTAATGTACCCTGGATAGGGAAAGCCAGGTGAAGGAAATATAGGAACTCTGAAGCCTCTTTGCAAGATTTCTATAAATCTAAAATTATACCAAAATAAAAGCTTACCTAATAAAAAGTAAAACATAATAAGAGGGTTTCATAACTTGAAGTTTAATAAATGCAGTTTAAGAAAATTGCTCGCTGTAATAATACTGCAAAGTTGTCAAAGTACTTTCCTTCTGTTTTATGCATATGAGTATGAGATACAGAAGCTTAGGCATATACATGCATGTAAATCAATTCCACAGAGGACATGAGATACCTTTTTCTTATTTCTTTGGCCTGAAATAACACAAAAATATAAGGATGCGTTGTAGTGCCATTTTTTTAACTTTAAAAAAACAAAATAGTATATAACATTGGTGTACACATCTCTGAGAATTAAAAATGTATTACATTTATAATTTTTTTCTTATTTTTATTTATTAAGAAACTAAGACTTAAACTAAAAGAGAAGTCCTACATTCTCCTTCTCTGTCTCATTCCCTTCCTCTCCTCCCCAGAGGCAACTATAATTATGAATTGATGTGTACCCATCCAATCATGTATTAGGTATATTTATGTACATATACTTGTGTATATCTGTTAAGATGTAGATAAATGGTATGATTCTGAACGTGTTTTGGTTGGTTGCTTTTTACATTCAACACTGTTTTTGAGATTTATCCATGTTAATGCATGTTAATCTAGATCATTTATTCAAACTACTGTATAGTATTCCATTCTCTAAATACTACTTTAAATAAAAATCTGTTCTCCTAGTGAGGGACAACAGGCAGTACTTTTTTCTTTACGGTTAACATTGCGGCATAAACAATATTTCTCTCTGTGGACAAATTCAAGAGCTTCTCCAGGGTCCTAGTCCCATTTGAATATTTCTTTTCTTTTAAACCTATTCTGTTTCCCTTATATTTTGAAAATATTTATTTAGGTTTGTGATTTAAAAAAGTAATGACTGGGAATTCCCTGGCAGTCCAGTGGTTAGGACTCTGTGCTTTCACTGGCTAGGGCCCAGGTTCAATCCCTGGTAATGACAGCAAATCTAACTATGGTCTCTTTCTATTCCTATACAGATATTTTAACAGGTCTAATGTAATTTGCTTTTAAGTAGTTGATGACCCAATTGCATGTTTTAAGTTATTACATTAAACTTATTATATTAAACTACCACTTATTCATATTTTCCTGTGATCTACTCTGTATAGTTTATCATATCTTTTTGTTTGAATCTTCACATTTTGGATTTGATTACAAAAGTCTCTGCTTTTGAAAATATTTTTTAGTCATTCCAAGGCACTATATCCATCAACAACCTGAAATCCATTATTTTTGGTCAGGATGGGTGAATTTTCTTTAGTTTGCATTACATTTCCTGGGGATGATTGTATTGATTGAATAGAATCACACGCGATACAGGTTGAATGAGACTCTTAATGTTCTTACTCTTTACTCATTAGATGATTATATCACTTAAGTCCCTGGAGCGCAACTGAGATTAGACCAGTATGACTTCTCTAAAAGCTTATGGATGCTAAAAAGAGAGGTGAACCCCGAGACTAGCACCACTAACCTGACTTAAAGAATTATGGCTCACCTACCGGCAGCGGGGCGTCCACCTGCCTGTGCCTGACTGCTCCCACCCGGCCTCAGCTGGAGCACAGGGTCTCACGGGGAGAATCTTCTGTGCCCTTTGGGCCAAGCACTGAGGGGAAGAACCCTGGAGGTCAAGGGGGTTGATGGCAGTGTTACTAGGGTAGGTCTCCAGGAAGAATGGGAAACCTCAAGCCTGCAAGGATGTTCACTACCCCTCCCTGAGGAGGAATTCTCCCTGCCTGGCCATTCTTGGAGAATCTGCTTTTGTTAAGGTGCTAGATGAATTCCTTACACAGGGCGCTGGTGTCTCTCCACATATATGGGTTGGCTTTTGATAATTAATGAACGCTTATCAGGTAAACCACTGTGTGCCTGACATCAAGAGTTTCTGCCGAGGGTCCTTCGCTCCTTCTTGAGACACTGATGAGAGCAGAGAGGGTGGCTTGTTGGACGGAATTACTTTCAGTTGTATGAGTTTATATAAAAGAATTCCTGTGGCTGATAAGAACCTTTTGAGGGTAGGTCCAATCATGCTCTTTAATGCACCCAGAATATTTGTTCTTATTAACCACAAATTAGTTGGATTAAAACATAGGGAGAGAAAGGAGGACCCACAAGGGAGGGAAGAAATGTATTTGTGAGAAATTTTCTCTGAATCCCAAGTGAGGTCCATAAATCTTCACTGTCCCAGAGCAGCATGCTTTGAAATCAGGGCTGGAGGAGATGACCCCAAAGCTTAATTAATGTCACACTGAGATTTTACGACATGCCCTAGCTTCCTCCCAGAGATTCTGCCCCCTGGCAAAGTGTGACCTCAGGATGCAGCCTCAAGTCATCCAAATACTTTCATTTACACTATTTACACTCTAGGCAGTGACTCTATTTCTCAAAATTTGGGTATATGTGCCTTATATAAAGACAGTAGTTTGGTAATGTAGTTTTTAATACTTATCTTTTTGTATTTTTTAAGATATTATGTTATTCTTATAGCAGAATTATGAGAGCTAGGTTTAATTCTTTAATTGAAGGAATGAATAACACATTTCTTCTTCCTTCTATCAGGCTATCTTTGAAGTTATATCCTCTGAACATTCATATTTACTCAGCTTGGAGATCTTGATACGAATGTTTAAAAATTCTAAAGCACTGAGTGATACGATGACCAAAACAGAGAGTCACCATCTTTTCTCCAATATTACAGATGTCTGTGAGGCAAGCAAAAAGTAAGTTCACTTTCGTTTGCCTTTGGTCATGCCAAGACATTACTTGTTAACAAACAGCTGCGTTATGTCAAAAGGAAGACATTTAGAGGTGTGAAGTCTCTCATTTGTTCAGTTGGCTTCTATCTTTATTCCTTGAAATAAATTTTAAGATGTGTTTCAAGGTGTTGATGTATAGACAGATGCTAAGTGTGTAATTAATTGTCACAGAAGACAGTTATATCTAAGGTCTCTATATTCATTCTCTTTCTCCCTATTTCTCCTTTTTCCCTTTTATTTTTCCTTTTTAATTATTGCCAATAATATAACAACATTATTTGGAAGGAAACAAGGTAACTCACTATCAAACCATTCAAATACAGACATTATTTCTGTTTACATTTTCATAATAGTCTTGTCCTTGTTAAGATATGTATATATTATTTTTAAAATGCAGTCATAGTGACCATAACGATTTTTACAGATTTTCCCTATTTCACTTTCCATAAGCGCTATTAGAAGAGTTTCCATTATTTTTTATTATTATTTTTTTTTGCGGCACACGGGCCTGTCACTGTTGTGGCCTCTCCTGTTGCGGAGCACAGTCTCCGGATGCGCAGGCTCAGCAGCCATGGCTCACGGGCCCAGCTGCTCCGCGGCATGTGGGATCTTCCCGGACCAGGGCACAAACCCGTGTCCCCTGCGTCGGCAGGCGGACTCTCAACCACTGCGCCACCAGGGAAGCCCTCCATTATTATTCTTAATGAGTGCAGGAAGCTCAGTTTGTACACCAGTGGTGAGCTCTTCTATCCTTCCGAGGGAACTACACAGCCTATACTGGAGCCATGTGCCAGCAGTGTTGAGCCACCCGAAGTTGCTATTTTGGTAGATCAAAATGGATTGAATATTGGCAGTTTTGTATGGTTGGGTCAAAGGTAGGTTTGCTGTACAACTCATAGCTTAAGCTTCAAGGCTCCTCATTTGCAAGGGCACCTTTTAAATATTTGCTTTTGTGCCTAATTTTTTTCTTAGAGGGCCTCCAAATTGTACAGGCTTCAGGGCCCACAAAAAACAGGATCTGTCCCTGGGGTGAGTACCCCTTGTGAATCTGGACGTTGTTCATTTGTCACTTTAGGGAAAATCCAAGTAGGCAGTGACGGTAACACGTTTGTATCCCTGGCTCCGTCGCTGTGTGCAGGTAGATTTTCCTTTTGAACTGCAAGATTGAACATCTGTGCTGAACAGGTTAGCATGTGAGTTGGGACCACTGCAGAGATGCAATTTGTGGTCAGATCAGCGAGCTCTCCCAATATTTTATGGTAGTGACACAACTTCAGAAGTCAGATTCTGCCACAAGAAAAGATCTTGACAATCTTATTACTGGCATGGATACTTAAAAATATGTGTCCAGAGGACCTGCTGGGCCTTAGAGAACAGGGGCCTGTGGTGTGCAGGTGGTGACACACACTGCAGCTTGGAAGTCTTTTTTCAGAAGCTGGGTCATTGCTTGTGTTCAGCCTGTTGGGTTTTTTTTTGGTACCAGTCTTGCCCATTTTGGTAAGAGAAATGAAAAATCTCCTTTCTCCCGTTAGTGAAGGGGGCAGAGCAAGAGCCTTAGATGGTGTGTCCCTGTTCAACAGGTATTCAGATTTCAAAATGAGTGTTTCATTTTAACTTGTACTTTGGTTTAACTACGAAAATAAATCTCCATGTTAGATATATCGCTATAAAGAATTATTTCTGTTTTGATAACCATAAAATGTAAGTTATGATTTTAATTAGAATATGTTTCCTGAAAACCATGGTGGCATGTTTTTCACTCCTCTCTGGAATTGTTCTTTGAATCGTGTGGCCATCAGTCCACTTCTCATAGCGTATAAATGACTCTAGAGAAAGCTGTTAGTTCTGACTGTTGAGTAGCAGCAGTTCTTGAACAGAGTATGTTTTGGGTCCTAAGAGTCTTTGGGCCTCGGCAGCACTGCTCGTGTACCAGGCATGCTTCAGAAGGAGCCTGGGCCCCAGTAATCACATCTTGTCTTGGTAGTTGGTTAACCTTGAGAAGGTTGCTAAACCTCTCCAACTCATTTCTCAGATATAAAATGGGGATAAAAACCATAATTGGTTAACCCTGGAATAAGTCATTTTATTTAAATTATAGATGAAAATTTTATTATTTTAATTTCACTCATTTACAAAATATAAATCTCTTATGATTTTATTTAAATGTTTTCATTTCTGTAGTAACTTAAAATAAGAGGCTATTCTGGACATTTTTGTCTATTTTTCATTTTTAAAACAAAACTCAGACTTCTCAGCCTGCATTAAATGATAAAGAAAGAAATATCTTTATCCTTTACATTTTTTGTTTTGTTTTTATTTGAAATGCAGTGTTTTAATTTGGAGAGATGCCTATGTAATGTTTGATCTCTGTTATATTTCAACTAAGAATGATCAGCTTCTGCATGGTAATCCTGTGTCTGTATCATAATAACTTACATTACAAAAGTTTATTGAAGTTTGAACTACTCATTTCAGATACAGCCTTTTTAAAATTCAAAGTTCTCAGAAGATTTACAAAACCTATTTCATTATGTAAAGCCTGCTTGTTGAATTTCCAGCATTTGGGCTCCAAGAGTGACTGACTCTCAAGTGGTAATGCCTTCATGTACTACCCATGAAAGAGTTTCCAGTCCTAAGAAATCATAAAATTTTCATTTTTTTCTTGAATAAACAAACGATCAGTGTCTGAATTAAGTACTGATTAAGTGGGGCATTGTTAAGTGTGGCATAATCAAGACTATTTTCATTGCTTTACTTTTACCTGATGAAAAATTGTAGCTATAGGTGGCGGGATATTCAGTGGAGGCTGAGGTCACAACATGCTCAGCATTTGACTTAACAATGTGATGTCTGGTCCTCTTTACAGTGGCTCAGGTTCTTCACTGTTTTCCAGTAAATGTCACCAAGAAGCGCTTATGTGTAAGAGGATGCTATATGAAAACAAACAGGCAGGGACAAGATCATTCTGATTCTGGGTGTGTGCATTTATCAGTGGATGTTCCTACTGAATTCTTTCCTGCTTTATAAAGAATTGCTCATTTTAGTCAACACTTGTGGAGCCTCCTATTCTGCCAGATGCCTGGATTCTAGAGCATTTCAGCTGATGGCATCTGCCCTGTGGCTCTTGGCCCTCAGGGGCCAGTGGCGGCCAATGGAACATACCCAGTGTGTGTGCAGAGGCATCCTAGGGCAGGGCACTTACCCGAAATGGGCAGGTTTGGGTCATGCTGGAGGTTATGGGCCTAGGGCCCCTGGTGAGAATCACAGGTGAGGATGAGAGAAGATGGTAATGGCCTTTGTGTGCCTGCTGAGGAGTTTTTACTGTTTACTGAAGGCTGGGTGGACACAATGGGCAATTAAGTAGGGGACTGACGTGGTGGTCTGGGAGATGACAGTAGAATGGTGTTTGCATAAGAGAGGAGGTGAAGATGGTGAAAGGTTTGGGGCCATTGCAGTAACACAGCCAGAGATGATGGGAATCCTATAGGAGTCCTAGGAGGAAGGACTTGAAGGATATTTAGAACCTGTAATCCCGAGGACTTGGCAAGAGAGAGGGAGGAGTTTTATTTACCTCCCAGTGTCTGCCTGGTTGACTGTGGATGGTGGTTGTATTATCCAGGGTGTAAGGGAAACAGGTTGGGGCTTAATGAGGGAGATAAGGAATTCAATTTGGGGCAAGTTTGAAATGACTGTGGAGCATGAGGGGAAGGTGCCTAGTTGAAAGGAGAAAAAGATTAGAATTCCAGAAAAATCTTGACTTGAATGTAGATTTGAGTCATGTACGTTCTTGGCACAGTGGGTTTAAGTGAGATACTAGAGCTTGTAGTGATGGTTTTTAAGTGGTGGTGGTGGTACTGGTGGTGGTTGTGTTTGCCTCCTGGGGGCATTTGGAATGTGTTTTCGGTTGCCCCAGTGACCTGGAGACTCTATTGGCATTAGTAGGTGGGGGCCAGAGGTGCCAGACATCCTACAAGTGGTAGAACTGCCCTAGAAAAGCATGAATTGTCCCACCCAAATGCCCATTGTGTCCTCCTTGAGATGCACAGATCGAGCAAAAAGAAAAAGAAAACCAAGGTCAGAATTTTGGCACAGAAACATTTAAGGAGCCTACATCGGGGGCGTGGGGGAGAAAATTGAAGCAAATAGGGTAAGAATTACTGCCAAGACCTTTCTCAGGCCCCTTGGCTGTGGAGGGTTTGCCCCTGTCTTTAATGCCTTCCTGTCACCCCCTGTGTCAGTGCCATGGGCAAGGCAGCTGTTTGCTTTGTAATCTTCTTTAAAGGCATATGCGGGGAGGCAGCTGGAACCCTACTGGTTCTGTATTTGACCCCTTCTACAAAGAGTGCGGCCCTTTTCTTTTTCTTGGGATGATTAGAACTAAATCCTCCTAAGTTCAGGCAGTCCCAGTATGCCTTTGACCTCCCAGCTCTGGACCTACTTCCTTCTACCTTTGACTGTTTTAACTTCCCTCTGACTCAAATGCATGAAATCTCCCTGGATTCATGGTCTCTCTGTCTTTTAAGCCCCAAAGATGTCCTAAAAACCTAATCATTCCATGAAAAAAAGGGAGTATTAGATATCTTTTGTTTAGAAAAGAATAGGCTTAATTCATAAATAAACACCACACATTGTATATGCTTTGCCTATTTGCATATATCCTTTGATTATTTTTTTTGTTCTGCTTTTACGTATCTGTGTTCATTTAGAATAATTTATAGATAGTTGCCATATTAATAGAAAAAGACCTACAAGTATGATTAATTTTCATGAATTAGCAACAGAATATGATCTTATTCAGTAATTCCACTTGTTTTTAAATTTAAGATCTATTGATGGTAAAAGACTGATACTATGGAAAGGAGATTGCCTTTTGTATAAGACTGAATATTAATCCCACTGCCGTGTTTAGAAACATTAAGGTCTAAGTAAGGTCTTTTGTATTAAAATGTTTTCTGCAAAATGAA